AAATAAAGCATAAAAAGAAATGTTTTTTTTTTATCAGGTGAAATGAAAAAGAAAGATACAAGATAACAAGAATAAAGAGATAAGAATAATTAATAAAAATAAAACGAGTTAGCATCTGTTAGAATGTATAATAAAGTCTTATTAATAACAATTTAAATCATAAAGTAAATTTAAGTATATTGGAAAAAAAAGAAATAAAAAATGATTTGTTTTAAAATTAAACAAACCATTAAAAGAATGGTAAAATACAATTAAAGAGTCAATGTTAAATATGAAGGGGATTGAATAAAGTCATTCATTCCTAATGCTTTTAATTGTTCAGGTAATAACAATTGTTTAGAAAATAATGGTAAAGGAGTTGGTTGAGCAATCGAATTAGAAAGTATTAACAGATTATTCATATTTTGTTGTAATAATAAAAACACTTCTCCATGAATAGGAGTATTATTTTCTAATGAGACTTCAATCATTTTTAAATAATTTTCATTTTCTTGAATAATAGAAATAACTTGACTCAAATCAACTTGATTCTCAGTTTTTTCTGTTGATACACTATGCATATCTATTGACATTGACCCAATGTTTGGAGAAACAGATGTAACTCGTGGAGAAGCTTGACCACTTTCATGATTTGAACTTAAACAAGCAAGTTGTTGGTTTATAATAATGGGTTGATATGAATGACTTAATCCAGTTTTAAGGGTTGTTCCAGGTTTAAAAAGGTCTCGTGACATAGATCTTCTTCTTTGACGTTGAATCGATTGTATATCACTGCCTTCATAAGCAGAATAATGTCTGTGTTTTGATTTTTTCTTTTTTTGAATTTCAGAAACTTTCATAGTACTTGGTGGTAATGTAACTTGTGTCTCTATTTTCCCTTCTTTTCTCTTATACATTTCATACGGTATTTTTTCTGAATCTGGTAATAATGTCCAATTTGCTCTTGTAGTAATTTGTTGAATTGTTCTTCCATTTAGTAGACCTACAAGTCTCAGAATAGTACTAATATTATTTCCTTCACTTTTTAACTTTTCTTCAAGTATTTTTTGTTCATATTCATTCCATTCCTTTTCACCATCTTCATTTAAAACAAGGTTCTTTGGATCATTTGGCATTTTAATAGCTGGTATTAGATGAACTACCTTAGCATTCATTCGTTTGGATAATAAGAAGAAATAAGTATCTTTTCTAGATCTTTTTTTCTTTCTTTTCATTATTTTTGTTCTATTGATTTGTCAATTAAACCATAATTTATTATAACTAAAAATACTTAATTCTCAATCAATGTTTATCATTTTCAAATCTACTTCTTAAATCTGGTTCTATTCTTGTTGTTGATGTCTCTGAATGTTGTGGAATATCTTCTCTCAATTGAAATTCATTTCTAATACGTTTTTGTCTTAATGGTTGTCGTTCAAAAAGTTTCCGCTGAAGACTGTGATTTGGTTCAATTACATGAAGAAAATTACAAAATCCATGTCTATCACATTCTCCAGATTCGTATTGTTTACAACGTGCCTCTTTAAAATCAGTGACATGTGAATAACTTGGTTGTATCATTCTCCCTGCATAATATCGTGCAAGAAGAAATTTCATTGCTTCTGATGCATTCTTCTCATCTCTAAATCTTACATATACATTTCCTGTCATATGTTCACTTAAATTTCTGCAAACAAGCATTTCATCAATTTCTCCATGTTTAGCTAATTCATTGAAAATGTCTTCATAAAAAATATTGAAATCCTTTTTTATTTTTTTCTTTTCATCTTCTGTCATTGAACTTTCTTCTTTGTGGATATATGGATTGTCATATAAATGTGTTAATAATATCGTTCTTGATATTTCTGGTTGAAAATGATTTCTTGTACAACTATCACCATGTCTACATGCTCCAATTTTGAAGAAAAATGCACAATTAACTTTGTCTTTTTCAGTCCCATGAATACTAGCAAGATCTTGTGCCATTGATGACAAACAATTACTTTATCCTTTTTAAGTTTTTTTTTT